GATATATCCCTCCGAAAGATGTATTAAAGAAGGGAAACAGTTGACACATCCAGGAAGGTGAGCTAATGTAAAACCAGGGTTGGAAACACGGAATTACATACGTGCACAACCAAAACTGCAGGAAAAGATATTCAAAACATATATCAAACATTAAAATTTATACAGCAATTATATAAAACACTTGGGTCTTATATTGCAAACGACAAAATAAAACAATGATTAACCTGAACTATGTCAAACGGTGCCGTTTTAAGGTTTTTACTCCAGTAGTTTTTTTAGATTCAGTGATAGGCAATTCTGGAATGCAGGAATGCATTTAATATAAACACTCAGCCAAATCTGYCAAAAATCCCATGGATCCCACATACATCTTGGGCCAGTGCGCTGCAAAACTGAGATCCTCATGGATCAGTTCCAGTTTTAGATGTTTCCCTGCTTCAATACACCTCAGTGAAATGAATGAGTCATTGATTGGCCTCTGCTAAACTTAACACTACTTCTTCATTAAAAAACTTTAACATTCACATTTCCTGAAAGAGCCAACCATGCTCTCACCATAATGTAAGTTTTGGTCTTAAACAATCATTGTTGTTTGTATAATAAAGTGCAACATGCACAGGAGAGAAAAAAAACGCCATTTATAGAAAAAAATGGAAACTAAAACATAATGTTGGTTCTTTGTAAGAGGTTTATTATCTTCATATATGTTACAAACAGAAGCACAAATGTTCGTTAGACTCAACAACGTGTCTGAAGGACTTTGAAGGTGTGGAAATGAAGATCTCACCCATTTATCTGAAAATAAAAAGAAAAGTATAATGAGAAGTCGTCTCAGATCAGGCTGTAGTCTTTATTAAAGCTACAACGTGAAGCTAAAGGGCATCTAGGTCCAATGAATTCAACTCTAACAAACTGAAATCCTACTATTAAACCTTCATCGTGTTACCTACTCTGTAAAGATAAGCATCAGTCCCTGAGTTCAGCAGAAGGTGAGGAGCAGCAGATTAGGTCAGAGCGGAGAATTAGTCATGAAAGAATGTGACAGCTTTTTATAATTTAAAGACTTTTAAAGTCAAGAAGGAATCTTTAGGGAGGAGAGAAAAAYCRATACTGRGGTCAGAAAGCTAAAGGAAACCAGGGAGGATGATAATGAGAGGGCGAGTCAGAGGAAAAACAAATGAAGGACAGAAAAGGTGTGGAACAGAAAGAAAAGAGGAAGAGAAGACTGATGACCTGAGGAGGAACTTACAGGGCAGCAGCTCCGGAGATGATCTCAATCAGCTCCTTGGTGATGACGGCCTGTCTGGTACGGTTGAAGGTGAGGGTCAGCTTGTCGATCATCTCAGCTGACGGAAACAAACAAATCACAGCAAATCAGAACCAAACTATGGAAAGCACATCTGAACAGGGAAGGAAAAGCTCTGTTTTGTTCCTACTTATTAAGAAACCAAACCAGTGGTTATTCCRTATGTTGCGGGTGTTTCGGAGAAACTGAGACGTTTATTTTCTAAACATGATGTCCCAGTGGCTTTCAAACCCCAAAACACATTACGGCAAAGGCTGGTTCACCCCAAAGATCCGGTGCCCCGGCACAAACAGAGCAATGTTTGTATATGCTGTTAAGTGCCAGGAGGACTGCGACCAGTTATACATCGGGGAAACAAAGCAACCACTGTTCAAAAGAATGTCCCAACACAGACGAGCTACATCTAATGGCCAGAACTCTGCAGTTTTCACTCATTTACAGGCCAGCGGTCACTCTTTCAGAGATGAGGATGTTCTCATTCTTGATAGAGAGGAACGTTGGTTTGAGAGAGGAGTAAAAGAASCCATTTTTGTAAAGAAAGACCGTCCATCATAAAACAGAGGTGGGGGCCTCCGTTTTCAGTTGTCCCCCTCCTACAGCGCGGCTATTGCCAGTATCACTCCACCCTCTGTTAACAATAGGTGTTAATTAGGTGTCAACGATAGCCATGTGATGTGAGTATCAGTCACATGGAGGCAGGGCTTAAAAGCCTGAATTTTGCCTGAAACTCTCAGACTGAAGAAGTCTCTTGGAGGAGAGACGAAACGTTTCATTAGAGAAGAACCCGTCCAGAAGACCTATACAATTTTTTTCTTTTTGATTTTTTTACCTGGATTACTGAGATGCATCAGGATACTTATTATGAAAATCTCCAAACACAACTGGACTCAAGTCTTACAGGCGTTCTTGCTGGCGCTGTCCATGGCAGTCATCCTGGCACTCTGCTCACTGGTGGAGGACTCCTTCAGGGCCAGGTAGATGATGTTGACTAGAGTAAACTCCTGGTAGTTCCTCAGCACATCAGCATCAATGTCATCATAGATCCCCATGCTCTCTGCCAGGGGAAGTAAATAAAACATCACCCTCTGTAAGCCTAATCTCTGTCAGGTTGTTTCGTTATGAACACAGCTTCTACCTGATGAGGCAACTGTGTCGTTGGAAAACACCGGCTTCTGGTCCATCTTGTAGGAAATAACAGACCTGCATAAACAGAAATGTTTGAGTGTTTTCTAAGAAAACGGTTGAATTCTAATTTTTTTTTCTCCCACAGTTGAAAACCTAAACTTCACCTGAATCTATTGTAGATGACGGAGCCCTGATCAAACTCGTATCCAGAGTTGAGCAGCTCCGCGGCGATGACGGAGGCGTCACTAAAGTTGGGTGGCTTGCGGCCGACCTCCTTGCAGTTCAACAAGATGTGTTCCCCATGAGTTCTGATGAGGAGGTATAAAAAAAAAACATTTCAGCCTCAACCATTAGCAATCAAAGCAACTATAGAGATGAAATCCTTTGAATAAAGCCAGAAACTGTTATCCTGACTGTACCTGTGCAGCAGTCCTCTCAGCTTGTCTCCCACATTAATCACTTTCACCTCCTTGCCAGCACTGCTCAGATTGGCGATCTCGTTCTTGATGGTCTTGGCTATACCGGAGTGAATGGCACCGCAGAGACCACGGTCAGAGGTCACACCAACAATCACATGCTTGGTGGCCTTATTCTCAGACGCTTTAATGTCGGCCTTCTCGTACAGGGCTGGGATGAAGAAACAAAAACAAAAGACATTTCTATTTAGCAAATGTTACAAATAACATCTGGTTCGTATTAACTGAGAAAATAAAGACCGACCCAGAGCACCGGTGCCGTAGACACGTGCAGGCTTCAGCTGCCTCTCAGCACGAGCATACTTGGCTGCGGCCACCATCTTCATGGATTTTGTGATTTTCTGGATGTTCTTGATGGACTTCAACCGAATGGTGACTAAAGAAGAAGTGGCGGTAGTTCAGAGTAGATCGGGGTTTTTTTTAAGAATATTATTCAGCCAAATATACAGAAGTTAGAATTGGTTCATCTCTATTTTAGCCATCATTCCGTTGTTTGAGAACAACAAAGTAATATTGCTTCTTAGTGTGATCACAACAAATCAGACCTTTTTAATTCCAGACATGACAGGCTCTATAATTTCATGCACATTTCTGTGTGCAGTTTTTTTTTTTTCCTTTATTCATACACATTAGGTAAATTATTGATAGCCTTAAACTGCACAAGTGGGATACACAGAGATTTTTACTGGAAACAAAAAGCAATGACTTAACATCTGTTTTCAATGTGCCAATTACAACATAAACATTTACATTTTAATCAAGTGAGTTTCCTCAATTTATATCAAATATTCACCCATCTATTTCCTTTACCACCTGTAAAGTATCCAGGTCAGGATTTTGACACAAACTTGCATGTGCAAGCAAAACTTTAAATATTTGACACCCTAAAATCATGCATTTCTGTCGAGTCCTGTAAATGCTTGCACCAATTGATATGCTTCCAAAGTACAGAGCTGACCAGACCTAACAGATCCAGCTGAGAACTGGTCAGTAAACTCATAAATCGAAGTTTTAAATGCACAATACTTTAGAAATATAGATGTAATAAATATACAGTACTTCATGTGAGTTCTTGCAAAGCTTTTGACAATATTTCTCACAAGACACTTAGTCACGTTATTCGGCTTTGTAATATGAAGTGATTTAATAGTGACATTAGTTAGGTATAATGATTTATATTTTGTGTATTTTGCAGAATTTAGAAGTACTTACTGTCCTTCAAGGTAGCCATGTTCCTGACCTGCCCACTGTCAACAGAAATAATGCACGAGCATTTAATGCGAGTATTACCACTAGTATTACTATGAGGCTAATGTTAATAACAGATTTTAGCTTCTGTAAAACGTAACAATACATTTTAACATGAAGTTGGGCTAGCGTTAGCACCTAGCCGGCTAAAGTAATCCATTCACCCTGCTGTCATTCATTAGCTGCGGCCTGCATGTTAGCATGTCCTTCTACGTAAAATACGGCGTTCGTTACAAAGTAGAAGTTAAATACTCAGTGTTACTTGATGTCTACATCAAATCTGCACATATAATACAATAATAAAAGTAACTGTGAAGGTGTATTCGCTTTACCATTGTGGGAAAAAAACCACCGCGCTGGTCCTGGCGAACATGTTCACGGCTATGAAGGTCAGACCCGCAGGACTGCGCAGGCGCAAAGTCGAGTCAAAAACATGGATGGACGTTGCCTTCATGGACCACTAAAAATATTAGCGAGATGAGCTTCACAGTCACAAACTAGACTTCTTAAATAGCTACAATGATATTTGTGTGTGTTTTTGTTTCCTTGCCATGTTTTATAACTTTCAGTTATATTTTGTACCCACTTTTTTTGCTTAAAAGGACAGAAGCCTATCTCAGCAGCCGGTTTTTACATAAAAATGTTAAATTTCATCACTTTTATCTGGATACAATTCGATTTTTCATCATTTATCTTATCAAGTGCTGAAATATCTTTAAATAAACTACTGTAGTTTTTGTATGAATAACAAAGAAGATAAAGTCGATTTAATTYGGAAATTTCTGAATTTCCGAGTATAGTTTTAGCGCAGCACAAAGTATCGCGAGGTTTAACGAGTGTTCGCTGCCGCTTTGACGCTTCGCACGCGGAAACTGTTTACTCTGTTAGCTATTGTATTTTAGCCTCGAAACTGGAAGAAAATACATATACAGCAAGTGTTTTTGTTCGTTAAAAAGCCTTCGCAATGGGCAAAGCAGACTTTTTATCCCCGAAGGCGATTAGCAACCGAATAAAGGCTAAAGGTCTTCAGAAGTTGAGGTGGTATTGTCAAATGTGTCAAAAACAATGTCGAGATGAGGTGAGGAGATGATTACATTTGTCTTATTTTCACAGATTTTCTTTTGCTGTAGCGACAGTTTTAAACCATGTTTCTGTCCTGTTTGTTTACAGAATGGTTTTAAGTGTCACTGCATGTCTGAGTCCCATCAGAGACAGCTGCTGCTGGCCTCAGAAAACCCAACAAAGTTTATGGACTACTTCTCTGAGTGAGTTTGTCACGATTGGAGTTAAAATAAAATAAAAACTGATCCATATGAAGGATTTGTGTAGAAAAAGAAATATAATAAATGTTATTTTTCCTGCAGCGAGTTTAAAAGTGACTTTCTGGAGCTGCTCAGGAGACGTTTTGGTGAGAAAGGTTTGATTTTTTTCTTTTCAAATCGCTGTGAAAAAGTGTTTTGTTTTAACTGTGCTTTTATTTTATCCAGGGACCAAACGAGTGCACAACAACATCGTGTACAACGAGTACATCAGTCACCGCGAGCACGTCCATATGAACTCCACAAAGTGGGAGACGCTCACCGACTTCACCAAATGGCTGGGCAGAGAAGGTGAGCATGAAAAAAGAGAGAGAGATTTGTCAGATCAGTCTGTTCTGATCTATCTAATCCGTTGAATATCGCTGCCAGGTTTGTGCAAAGTTGACGAGACCCCGAAAGGCTGGTACATTCAGTACGTCGACCGCGACCCGGAGACCATCCGCCGCCAAGAAGAGCAGGCGAGGAAGAAAAAGCAGGACCTGGACGACGAGGAGAGGAGCGCCAAGTTCATCGAGGAGCAGGTCCGCCGGGGCCGCGACGGCAAGGAGGCCGAAGTGAGTGGCAGCAGACGCCTCGGACGAAGCTTCACCAGARTGTGTCTAAAATAAATCGTCTGTGCTGTGATTCTGCAGGACAGTCCCGTTTACACCGAGCTCAAACGTGAGAGCGAAGAAGAAAAAGGTTTGTTTTTCTCTCACGTGAGCTGAGCGTCGGCAAGAAATTTGTCGTCGAACTAAAAAAAAGGTTGTATTTGCTTGTGTTGTTTTCGCAGTCGCTTTCAATCTGAGCGCMCCGGTCGCCAGCTCCTCCAAATCAAGGTAGAAATGTCTCGGTGCTGCTTATATAAATAAAGCTTTTTACCGTTTCTGTTTCTGACCGTCTCGTCGTGTCTCCCCCTCAGCTCTGTTCTCGGGGCCAGTGCTCTGAAAGCTTCAGCATCATCATCATCCTCGGTCAAAAGAAAAGACGCGTCGTCTGGCTCCGACTCCAGAGGGGAGAAGAAGAAGAAATCAGCCCTGGAGGAGATCATAGAGGTTGTGTGTGTGTGTGTGTGTGTGTGTGTGTGTGTGTGTGTGTGTGTGTGTGTGTGTGTGTGTGTGTGTGTG